ATAATATGGATTAGAATATAATGATTTCAGATTGGAAATAATCCGCAAAAGTAATATTAAAACCAATTATAATTCGTTCGGAATTAAAACCAATTACTTTTTAATCCGGGCGCGGATTGAACCGATTAAAACCAATTAAAATCGATTAAAACGGATTACGTTTTAATCGGTTTTAATCGAACATTTTCAGCAGTGTAAGCTTTGCGATTATGAAACTAATATTTTTGTATCTTTAACTTTAAGAATATGTTATGATTTTAAACCCTCTATTTCTTTAAAGACCTTACCCTTGTTCATCACTTGCCTATGTAAGAAGCGCACTTGATCCGATCCCAGGTCATAAGGATTAAGTTCCTTGACCTAAAACAGGACTGACAATCGCGCTGATTCATAAAAACAAAGTAATAGCGTCCTTCTCAGAGCGTTGACTCGTCTTTCGAACCTTTGCAAAAGCGCCTTCGACTCGCATCGTGCGCCTCTGTGCGTACCTGCAAGATAGTTTATCTAGTTGCGTCCTTCCTTACCCCCCTCCACTTCCAATCCCAAGTCGTTCTCATACGAGACTCATTCTCTCACTCAACAAACTAAATCAAATTCCGAGGCTTGGAAACATAACAGTGTCTTATTATTATTATTATTATTATTTTATTATTTCCTTCACATCCACATCGCCAATTCTTCCTATTATCATTAATACAGAAAATAATTCTAATCTTTCCACTCCTAATTCATCCGTTATCCATTGTTATTTCCTCCAATGACTCCTCTGACGGAGATAACAATTGAAAATGAGGCAATATCTCCCAAGGAAGATATTAGAAGAGCTAATAGAAAAGAGGTAATAATTCAACAAAAGAAAAATAGTAGATATATGAATAATAACAACTTTCCGTATTTAATACATATAGAAAGTATAGATAACGAAAATATTGATAATCTCCATCCGGTCAGTCTTAACCATCATTTTTTCAATAAATGTAATAATATCTGTAATATCCGCAGAATAGAAAATGTCTTGTAAGTCAGGAAGGATAATAACTATAATATCCTCACTGCGATTTCGCGTGTAAAGTTTATTATAATGTTTGTTACCCAGTGAGAAACAATTTGTCGACCCGACGTCGATTCGACGTCGAAAAGTGGGTTCGAAATGAGATCGAAATTGACATCGACATCGATGTCTTTTTGACTCCCATGTCGACCTCCTGTCGATTCAAACTGCGAAATCGATTTGACATTGATCATAAATCAAAATCCTGCCCAAGGAGAACAGAAAGATCAAAATGACATAAAAATAAGATCAAATTTTAGTTTGTCAAAATGATGTCAAATTGCATAAATTTTTGATGTATTCTTGATCATTCCCTGAATGAGAAATGATCGCCAATTCGATATACTTATTTACGGAAATTCCTAAAGCGGTCACCCATCCAAGCCATGAACCTTCTGAAACGTGCTTAACCTTGTGATCGTCCGAGAACCGATGCTCCGATGACCTATAAATATTAATTGCTAATAAAAGTATACCAATGGTATAAATCTTTTTAATAGATGTCAAAAAGATGGAATATGTATTAGTTAAGATATATTTTGTTTATAAATATAAAGTTTGCATATATAAAATATTAACAAATATGAAGTTACAATA